CAGAAAATATTTTTTTTTATAAATATAAATTTATTTAATCGCTTTTATTTCAGCTGAATCACTTGTCTTCATTCTTCTTGAACCCTGTATCATGCAGCCACCGTGTGAAATCTTTAAGCCTTGGGTTTCTTTAGAATACAATCTTTTATCTCTTTCTGAAATGTGAATTTGCAAATAATTAACTGTACAATATATCCTACAATATGTGCCATAAGACAATCCTAGTATTTGGGACACCTGTATATTGGTGCCGAACCTGCCTCAGTCTGGCAGTTCCAAAGGAAAAGATTAATACTTTTCAAACAATGAACTATGGAGTTTTTGAATGGCATTTAGAAGTGATACACACAAGGAAGAGAATTTATGGATGTCAACTTCTTTATAATGACGAAACACAACACAACACAATCAGATTCAACCTCTCATATCACATGCAATTGCTTCAGATCAAATGGCGGCGCACAGTCAAGACGATCTGATCGTTAATCAAAATATGTAGTGTGAAAAAGCGGGTCTTACTTACGCGAAGGACATCAAATCACATGAGCACCTGATTACAAACATTAAACGATTTGGAAAATGTCTGTTAACGCCGAGTTGATGGTACAGATGCTTTGCAAATCCTGCAATCGACAGTCAAAATATAACTCCATAATTCCAGCCATGTTTGATAAGGGTGGAAACCGGACTTTTACAGTCAGTAAACTCCCTTGCCTCGGGAAGATGTTAGAGGCACGGATAGTTTAAATGTCCCTGACTCTCGAAACGAATTTGCAGAGAAATCTGCAATGTTGAATGATTTCCACGTCACAATCACCACATGATAATGTCAAAAAATACATATATAGCAAAGACGGCAACTATGAAAATATTTGAGATTTCTTTTTAATTTATTTTAAAACTGAGCTTAATGAGGAATCCACGAACGAACGAAAGAACGAAGCAACGAACGAAGCCATTCAGACAGCAATGGGCATTCTGTTGCGAAACGGCAGATTGAAACTCACTATTCCATGAATAGTATATGTTGCTGCAATTACCAGATAACGGTGGGAATTATTACATTATGATATTACAATAACAACTCTCGGGGGACTTTAATATCTAAATAACAATTACAAGGCATAAGCGTCCGCCCGGAGAGCGGAAGGTCCGGGGTTCGATCCCAGGCCGCGTCATACCAAAAGACGTTAAAAGATGGTACTTGTTGTTCCCCTGTCTGGCGCCCGGCATAAAGGGGCTAAAACAAGGACTGGTCGGCTCGGAGTCAGTATACTGTGTCTGAGTGGGGTATTTATGTTAAACTGCGACATGGTATCTCAGCGGGCTAGCACTATAAATAGGCATCAGTCTGGACTAAATTAGTACAAGCAGCCATACACACGTGCATGCACGTCGCTATATAAATGCAATAATCTTGGACACGATGTTAAACCCAATTTCACCTCACCTCAGCTGTATATGTACATGCGTGTTTCGAATTCGACGTTAACGCTGTCGCTCGAAAACCCGGGATCGATTCCCAGCGATGCAATAATGTGGTATCAACTGCTGGTTTCCATGGTTTCTGGAATAACGTTGACCATCCTCACTCGTGAAATCCAGCTACAGCAGGTTTCAGCTTCAATATGACAATAAAACGATTCATATATCCGACGCGATCTGTCGAACAGTGTAAACAGGCCTTTACATATCGATCCCGAAACTGGTTAGCGTGATCGAATAGAACGAGGTGCAAGGCGCTATCTATCACACTGAGGTCGGCATCTGAAGATGGTTGGATTAAAACTAACTTCCATATCCTATCATTTCGATCTAGGGATATTACCAAACTAGAACGACTATGTAATTTGGAACTGGCAATATATTTTAGGGGAGGGTGAGATTAAACGTGAGTGTGTAGGGGGGAGGGGGGGGGGGGGGGGGGGGGACGTTGTCATGAAAAAAAGACACAGAGAAAGAGGGGCTCGCCAACATATATTTCAACCTTAGGGGGTGGGAGTGGGGACAGGGGTGGGTGCCGCAGGGGAAATGACACAGTACATTCTTCAAATAAATAATTTAAATAAATAAAAGGACTGGTCTTTTATTTTACTCAAGGGGTCATTGACAAATCATACATTATTTCATGTACTTTGGAGTTGAAAAAATGTTACACTAAATGGAAGGGGTGGGGAGGGGTGGGTGTGTGGGGTCAGCAAAATATGACACAGCCCAAAGACCAATCTCTTGGCCTGTTATGTGATTGTTTATCATATATAGCCCCGCACAACGCCTTGGTTGAAGCACATATTTGAAATGATACCGCTGGTGCCGTCAGTCGTTGCGACGTAGCCGCACACTGACTGTGGGCTGAATGTGTCGCCGAGTTAGGCAGGGACGTTGTATTGGAACACGTCGAAGCATTAGTGCTATATTGAAGTTGGTTCTCTGTGTGAAATAAAACACTGCTTACACTCGTTAAGCGGTGGGATAGTGTATTAATGTCAATAACGTGTTCAATTGTGTGGGTTGAGTGTTTTGCTAGACATTGCAAACATAATGTGGGAGGCGTTGAAGGTTAGTGTGATAGTTGGTTCACGTTGGTAGTTTGTGCGATCACAATCATAAAAGGACCACTATTAACGTCTTCAACACAATATGGAATCGAACCCAGTATGTCTGCGCCACATATGAACACATTAACCATGGGACCACCCGTCGATGGTCTTGGGAAATGTAAAACATTATTGGCTGCTCAACTCGAGCGTTAGCTAACTAACGATCCCATAAGATCCCCGTTAGAATTGGTCTTCAGCAAACCCATGTCGTAAGTGGCGACCAACGGGATCGGGTGGTCAGGCTTGCTGACGTGGGTGAAGCATGTCGTATCGCGACAAAATCGTCGAACACACGAAAGCACACGCCCACACATGAACTTGATCATTATGAAAGGCGAATTCACGTGTTATATTTATTATCACCTAATATAGTATTGATTTACAAGGCTTACACAATCGGCAATTATTATTTGACTTACAGCATACATGGTTATGATAGATCAGAGGAAGATCTAATATTGACACATACAATGCACAGTCTTTGTCAGCACAATTTTTTTATTAATTTCTAATTCTTTTGATCTGGTATTACAAACAGCCTCGCCGCCACTGAAATTACAATATTGTTATTGTCGTTATTTAGCCTTTACACTGTCGTTACAGTGTCGTTACATACCCATTTACGTTGCCGAAAACTGTCACGTGATTATGTCGTCACGTACATGAGACGTTTAATTTACGTGGCAAAGACTAAACTATTCCCAATAAATTGTCGTTGTGTTGTTTCATCGCCGTTCCATATTCGTAACTTGTTATTTCCCCATGAAATTTTGTTTTCTTTCCTTGTGGTGACAATGCCGTAAATTGTTCTTAAATTGCCCGGGCTGAGAATACGCCATCGTTACACTACGCCCACATGTAATACGTTGTCGTTACATGTATATGTGTTGTATGGTTACATCGTCGTTACATTGTATTTCATTGAGTGAGTTAGTGAGTTGGGTTTAACGCCGCCTTTAACAGTATTCCAGTTATATCGCGGCGTGGCAGCTTAATGTACATGTCGGAGGAAAGCCCGAAGCGATGCAGGTCTAAGACGCTTACCACTTCGGTGAAACCCATGAGCACGGGTGTGGTGCTGACAAACCTAGAAACAATCGGGGCGAACGTGGATTCGAACCCACAATCAAAGGATTCTGGCGTGCCCAAGGGACGCAACTCTGCACAGCGAATCGCGGCGCCTCAGACGACCGGGCCACCCGTGCCCCCGTATTTCTGGACGTTGCATAGGTGTTATTTCTTGGTTAAGTCCGATATATTGTTTTAACATTACTGGTACACAGCCGTTATAGTGCTGCTGCGTTCCAACCGTTGTCGTTACACCCCAGGGCAGTGCCGTTACACATTCCGTTCTTGGCGTAGATTTGTCGTCGCTTTTGGCATTGCATATCGTATAAATGCAAGTTTGTAAACGTGCGAACCAATAATTATTGTTAACTTTATCATATTTGTCAGGAGATCTTTTTTTCAAAGAACAAGGTTTGTTATATTCGTCTTAAAAAATCCCTATGTTTTATCATCTGTTTCAAATGTGTGTGTGTGTGTGCGTGCGCGTGTGTGTATGTGCGTGCGTGCGTACGTGCGTGCGTGTGTGTGTGTGTGTTGTTTAACGCCACACCCAGCAATATCCTAGCTATATGACGGCGTATAATCGAGCCTTCACCAGAGAATCCAGTGATTGATATAATGAGCAACGTTCCGTGCGTCGGGTTAAGGTAACACACAACCAAGCAGGTCATCGATCCCGCCACCCGATCCATTAAGTTGCCCCTACGACAATCAAGGGTAGCTGGACCCTGAACCATCCTGGAATCCCAGTGGACAGAATTGCGTTGAGTGTAATAATTCCCGATAAATCTGTTATTACAGATTTTATAACGAATGGGTTTTGATTAACGAAACACATAGCGGCAATGAATCACAGCACACTCTATTGAAAACAAATTTGAAATGTTTCATGAAATATCTAGTTTTCTCTCCTGCAGAATTATTAAATAACCCGAACCAAAAAAAAACAGTACATGGTGATGTGATGGAATCTTATTATGGACAATCACAAGTAATTTAATTATGCAGACACGATCTCCCGAATGATCTATTACCCTAAGGCTCATGGGCAACCTTTTCGAACGGATGAAAACAGAAATTAATCAAAGAAAAATATAAAACAGTAATAGCGACGGATTTGCACCTGATATAATTACGTGTTATGGACGTTAGGGGCTATTAATATCCCAGCAGACTTTTAACACAAGAGCATCCTATGTTCTCGCTGGTGGAGGTAGTAACGCGTGGATCGTGGTGTATCTGGGTTGCCACGGTGCTCTGCCTCTTACCTTATAGAACAGGGCGACTTCAGTGGCCGGCCGATCGCACCACAGTAGCACAATAGATTTCTGTTGGCTGTAGGCGCCGGGAATAGGATTCGCCTTCACAGACGTGATGTTGGGAGCGATGAAGCCTATGGCAATGCGTGTGTGAGGAATTTCAAACAGCGCGTCTTTTCTCAATGATGGATCAATGCATAAAATCAGTCTTCATTATTGGATTTCAACTGAAACGGTAAGTACTACTACTTTGAATTAAGGCTTTACAAATGAACACAGGGGAGATTCAGGTACGCACAATTCTGATTTTTGTTTTTCCCTTTTATTCAATCAACGAAAACCAAGTTGGAACATAATGCATTTTTTGCGATCTTGCGATTTTGACTTTATTCAACAGTGACGTGCAATTGCATCACTTTTTTACATTATAAATATAAACCGACTTTATTGTAACATAATAACACACTTGTGATCGGCAGTGCTGCCTTCTGAATCATTCAAGATGCGAGAATATTATTCCTTAAATAGTTTAAAATTACCCTTATTAAATCTTCATCTTCTAACGCATGGATTATCAATATAAATAGATGTGGTATTAGTCATGCCTGGTCATAAGCTAGACGCATGATGAAGTTACTTATACATCTGCTGACGAAGGTGACAAAGGCAATGGAAGCATCAGCTTATCAGCCCGGAGCCGTTTGTTGTTTATCATTGTGATAAATGAGAGATACATGTCGAAACGAGAGGTGCTTGAATATCACCTGTGATGCTAGATAGTTAAGCCCACATTTTTCGACAACTTATGAACTCATAGTTTACTTACATATATACAATTATCATTATGCATCCTTCTGACATTTACATTGTCAACTTAAGAAGCATGATTACTGGTGGTACTGGTCATACCTTCATAATATAGCTAGATAGTGACAAAAGGCGCCGAAGTTAGTCATTGAAACTACACAGAAAATGTAGATGCTAAAGCTAGACAAGGAAGGAGTGATGGTGAGCTGAGGTGAAATTGGGTTTAATGTCGCGTTCAAGATTACTGCACTTATATAGCTTGGCTGCTGGTACTTGTCCGGACTAATGCCGGTTTTATTGTATTAGATCACCAAGTAGTTTACCATGGATATTCCTCTAGAGCCGCCTGTCCTTGTTTTATCTCTTAAATGCTGAGCGCAAGGCAGCGTAACAACAAGTGACTTTTTTAACGTATTTTTGTATAACGCGCCGGGGATCGAACGCCGACCTTCCACTCTCTGGCAGACGCTTACCATTACACCACGGAGGTGATACAAAGTCAGGGGGAAGGATAGATAACTATAGACAGCTATGTCATGGTCCACCCTTTATTTGAGCCATAACAGTCGTACATGATATTTGATCTGGTTAAATTTCACCACTGAGTCTATGCCTCAAAGACCGTTACTGCATTTCAGTACCAGACGCTACGTTCACTTAAATATGTTCTCGTCGCTAAATAAGTTAAAAAATACTACCGAGACGATGGATTCACTTCCACACTCCAAGACGACACCAAAGAATACTCTCCACGTGAAACATATCAACAAGGTATTGTATCCTTTAGCAAAACTATGTACCGTCCTTGACCACACATTGAAACGCTGGCAACAACCATACCATGTACCCTGTGTATATTGTACGACTGAGGTCAGTCCAGTGTGCTCAAGGCACAAGCTCTCGGGTCACTGTTGGTCCCCATATGACAACACGTGGGTTATATGACCCCAGAAGGCATATGACCCCTCATGGCAGTCACGTGGAGCAAGGCATATAATGCCTGGCAATCAGATATCAACACAGACCATCAGTGATTTGGCACTCGGATGCTCATTTCTTTATGTGCCCCGTGATAGCTCCTGTTAGTACGACAGCACGCTGTATAAGGTATTTATCATTTTAACTTGCTTCTGTATCATTGTTAGGGACACAATGTGTTGGTTCTCATTCAAAACGATTCAACATTTCGTGTGTCAGGTACATGTTTGTATGTGGTAGATACTATTTAGAAACCTATTTGAACTTTGTATTATCGGTGCGCTTAAAGATCTGGTACAATGGATATTGTAGAACTCCGAATGTTAATGTTATAATACTATGTTAATGCTATTATTGTTATATACATTTTGTAGCATCAATGTCGGATTTAACGAGAACATGTCATCTTTCAGTCCATTTATTCTTGCTTTCATATCATTTTTAGAGACGCCATGTTTTGATTCTCATTAAAAACGATTCAACATTTCGTGTGTCATGTACATGTTTGTATGTGATAGATACTATTTAGAAACCTATTTGTACGTTGAGTTATCGGTGTGCTTAAAGATCTGGTACAATGGATAATTATTTGATTGTGTTATGTAGAACTCTGAATGTGAATGTTATAATGCTATGTTAATTCTATATTGTTATATACATTTTTGAGCGTCAGTGTCGAACTTAACGAGAACATGTCATCTTTCAGTCCATTAGTCCTTACTGTTGAACTTTTTTGTTACTGATCTCCGTCATGATGGAATTCGTAGCGTGAAGTGCAAAAGATGGTAATTATTTTTTTGTGAAAAACGTCTTGATGTCATCACATTTTAACGCTTCATATTACCGCAGTTCAAAATCTGTTACCTACTTGAAAATATGTTACTTACTTGATGTTACTTACTTATATGTTACGGATAAGAAAATACTTGTTAAACGAGTTATTTGTTGTAAAGGTATTTTATGGCATTCCAAGAATTCCGAAAAGTCGTCGTTTTACCATTTTCGTCGGTGAAAACGCTTTTTCGTTAATGTGAACATGACGTTAGGTTTAAGTTATTGACATGTATCACCAAGGCAACCAACAACAGTTCTCAGTGCATTCACAATTCACCTAATCCCGAAACGTGTTACAGCTTGTTTTAATTCGCCATTACGCGTTATCTTTGCTATCACGGCGGCGGTAGACGAAGAAACTGTATTTCCTATAGTTGTGGAGTAACACTTTAGTGGACATTAGGGATGTGGAAGATATCACATAATTACCCCCGCACCACCCAGCCTCCGGGTTATGCCTCAATTACCGTTTAAGGCTGATACAGACTTTGAGCACCAGCAATTGTCCCAAATCAGATTGAGACGTTAATCCAGAAATCATCCGATGACCATTCTGTTTCAGAGGTAGCAGTTGACTGGAGCCTAAAGCGGTTATGACTTCTCATAAGGCATTGGACAATTGTTCAAACAGAATGGCATGACAAGCACGTTTCCTTCACAGCTGTTACAAAGAGAGGAATTGACCCAACACGATCACTGTGGTACTCGTTCTCACCTTATTCAGTCTAGTTTGAACTGGCATGGAAAACAAGAGCAGTTCGGTGCTTTGGTCGTCACTGTAAGACAGATTGGTTCATCAGAAGGCGATATTGCGTCCACGGGTGATTTGGAGCTGTCAGACGGCATTGTTCTAGGAGCGCGGAGTCGAGGATACCTTGTACTGGTGCAAAGATCTACACCTGGGATTTCTATTTAGGAATCGCTTCTTCATCGAGGGGCTTATTTTATCTGCTTGTTGAGACTGCTCCGAGTTGGTACAAGTGACATGATTGAGAACCTGGCAGGAATAACAGAAGACACACACGGGGGGAACTATACCTTTACCTACTATGAAGAAATACCGCCGTGTGTATGGCCGGACCCTAGGCCACCAGGTAGGCATCATCATCATCATCATCATCATCATCAACATCATCATCACAATCATCATCGTCGTCGTCGTAGTAGTAGTAGTAGTGTTCAACATCAGTGTCATTATCGTCATCATTATTTCTCTGACATGTATGAGAACCATTATCCCACCAATATTTTTTCTCAACAGCATCATTTTCAGAGCGGTGTTATTGATATCAGCATCATTATCATTTTACTACAGCATGTACTAATATTATTTAATTAAGTTGTTTCTTTAGCTAATGCAAATCGACCTGCCATGTCATGTCTACAAGGCATCACTCGTTCAGTTTCATATAAGTAAAGTCCATTAATTAATGAGCGATAAATGAGATAAGAACAGTCTATATTTGCGGATTGTTGTTCATCTTACAGTCTTCCTCATTAGCTAGCCTCACATCTCCAGGGTAGTGATAGGACGACGGTGGGCGGAACCTTCACCCCCCGGCAGACCCCACAAGGCCATGATAAGTGTACATAACGCGATGACCATTGTCCACAATAACTGCCCGACCACTATTGATGCCACAGGTCAAGGCTTGCCCGTGTGTTCTTGTTGGTTAGCCAAATCATTAAGCCACAGTGTAGTTATGGGGTTTTGTTTTGGACAAATGATTTCGGCAGATAATCGATCGGGAGATAATCGAGAGTGATTATTCTTTGGCGTTGATGTTTTATATTCGGTAATAACATCCTGATTTCATATACCAATCCAGTGTGATGAAGGATAAACTTTAGTCACATTAGGTGTAAGTATTAGTTCGACAATCACACTGGGAGGGATATTGTATGCTTATTTCACAGAGATAAGGATATATGTAAGTTCGACATTCACATTGATGGATTTAATAAATTATGCTTATTTAACTGTGATGGAGGTAAATGTTTGTTCGACAGTCACATTAGGAGGGTGAACGTTTGTTCGAAAGTCACATTAGGAGGGTCAACGTTTGTTCGACAGTCACAGTAGGAGGGTAAACGTTTGTTCGACAGTCACATTAGGAGGGTAAACGTTTGTTCGACAGTCACATTAGGAGGGTAAACGTTTGTTCCATAGTTACATTTTGATGGTAAACGTTAGTTCGACAGTCACATTAAGAGGGTAAACGTTTGTATGATGGTAACGTTCGATCGACGATAACAAACATGTCCGCACCCACTTTAGGGTGGTAATTTAGTTCGATAATCACAATAAGAGGGTAAACTTTTGTTCGACAGTCACATTAAGAGGGTAAACGTTTGTTCCATAGTTACATTATGATGGTAAACGTTAGTTCGACAGTCACATTAAGAGGGTAAACGTTTGTATGATGGTAACGTTCGATCGACGATTACAAACATGTCCGCACCAACTTTAGGTTGGTAATTTTGTTCGATGATCACATTAAAATAAAAACTTTAGTTTAACTATTACATTTAAGAGTTGACCTCGCGACGACGTTCATACAATGTTTGGCCCTCACTTTATGACGGTTCATACTCCAGTGAACTCACACAAAGTGAAAGTCAATTCTTACACTTTTTTATCACAATTTCATACCTCAAAGGATGTAGCCGAAGATCTAAACACAATTTTGTTAAGTACGTGTGACTTCATGTTTACACTGACCGCCAAACAACAACCAGCTATATCGCAGAATAAAAATGTTCCCCAAAAAGAGAGGTGACATGAGCGTATGGATCCACAACTTGCTCTTCAGAAACATCTTACGCAACACATGTGTAATAATATCACCATTAGATGAGAAAGGTCTGTAATGAACTACCTCAGTAAGTCAGTCACAATGACAGCGCGTCGTAATACATTTACATCAAGTACAAGACGTCAAAATGACCGACACGATAAACGTGACGGGAGGATTTCCGAAGTTGTTAATGAACCTGTGGCGGTTACATGTGTTAGTCATCATTGATCAACTGACCGATTATTGAAAGGTGATTAAAGATGCGTCAAACAGACACCAAGGTAATTTCGTAGATTGCTGGAGGCGGTCACTGTCAGCCAAGACACAGATCGAGTCGATACTGACGATAGTTTGGATGTGCATTTTTTCGTTTGTTCATTAGGATGGGCCGTAGCGAGGAAATTCGTGAACAATCATGCAGTCAAGCTCTCTTACGTTTCTCAATGTATGCTGAAATGCTGAGTCCAAGATTAAAGGTTCTAAATTATCAGAAGTAATGCTTATGTATGTCTTCCCGCTAGGGAATTCCCAGGGGTTTCCCAAGGAATGTGGAAGTAGTCCATCAGTGTTTACGTCATTTCAAGAACACGGTCTCAGCGTCAGATTGTGTCGTTCATACACTTATGAACGTCAATATCGCGGTCATGTGACCGACCTCTTGTCCAATGGAAAAGCCGTCTATCGTGTAAACGGCAAATTGAAAAAATATAAGGAGGTAAATTTTAGTTCAACTATTACATAAGGAGGTAAACGTTGGTTCAACTGTCACAGTGGAGTGAATAAATATGTCCAACCCCCTGTAATTCATGATTTAAAAGCCCACAGACAAACTTTATTCCAGTTATATCACGGCGTGCCAGCTTAATGTGCGAGGAAAGCCCGAAGTGATGCAGGTCTCAGACGTTTACAACTTCGGTGAAACCCACGAGCACGGGTTAGTGCTGAGAAACCTAGAAACATAATCGGGGCGAACCGGTATGACATCTAAAAGAGGCTTTTCAATTCCCCGTCAATCCCAGTCATTTTTAAACAAGGGTACATGGCCTTTAAGTGGATCAATGTAGTATGTGTGTACATACACCAACTGAGGGTGGTCGAAAGCATTTATTTATCATATGCGTGTGGTCATCGTAGGAACTATCCGAGACACTCCATCAAGAACATAGCTAAGTGCTTTCATACAAATGACTGAAAACAATTCGAATACGCCTGCCAAGGGTTTTTTAAGCATATTTTAGGGAACCGACACTGACGTGTATGTTGAAACAGCTGCAGCGTTGTCCCGTGTTCGCTTGTGTGATTACATGTAATTGTCGATTGTCTAGCCGACTTATTTGGCAGAGCATGGAACATTACAGGCCTGACTCCCGCTCTGGAAGTTAAACCCATTCTCCAGTAATCAGCCATGAAAAGGATTCTTCAGATCCTATCACAACTCCTTATATTTCACTTGCGAAGCCTTGTGATCTCACAACAGACTCGTGGATGTTATCAACGGCCTGCCGTCTGGTATATACTCGACATATAAAGTTACGCAACTATGACAGGGTGGAGGTTCAATGAGCCGTAAATGGAGGGAGTTGTATTACACTGCAGACAGAAATACGTCAGCTATATCACACAGCGGCATGAATATTTGAGACATGGCCTAGCAAACGAGTGGTTGATAGCGTGAGCACCGAGCAAAGACGTCCGGGTGTGATGACAAGCAGTTAGCCGTGTCACGTGTTGTAATCACTGATCATTGTAATCGACTCCTACGACAAATCTTTTAATTTTACTCTTTCCGCGAACACCTGGTGTTATTACTGACTTTCAGTGATCCATTTATATAATTTTCGCGGTTATTCTGCACTTTACGCCCAATGGAATCTGTTTCGGGGGATAATGGAGAATTTATACTATTTTATATAATTTTGAGTATCCCGGACCTGTATACTTATATATCATTGGGACATATATTATTTTAATTATTATTAGTTTGCATACCGCTCTACCAGTCCTATTGTTATGACAAAACATGCGTGACAAAACTAGAATACCACTGTACTGTTGTAGACATGACAACTGATACTCACAAATGTAACAACGAACAACCCCAAAAATCGATCATGACATTTCGGGTTGATTCTTTTGAAATCTGAATTCGGTTTCGGTTCCGCTTTTTTAGAATTTTGTTTTCCATTCGGAAGTTCTACTTTTTCATGCAACCCCTTTCGATGCCCAGCACTGTCTTTCGTGACAGACCACATTAGCATACTCGAATTTGTTTTTAATCACTGTTTTCATTTAGTACAATAGCGAATTTGGGTTCCAATGGTTGTGAAATCGAAATAATATCAAATTCGACTTTTTATTATGTGATGTAAGCTCGTCATAGTATAACTGTTTGTGACCAAAGTAACATTAGGTTACCCACCAGGAGAGAAGGGACCTTTTTTGGATACAATTGTTCTGTGACGCCATAAAAAAACCGTTTAGCTTTCTTCCGTATAACTCGCCATGTGTTCGAACTGTACACAAATATTGTATTTATTTCTCGTTTGTTCATAATGTATGTATGGTACTGACAAACCTAGAAACATAATTGGGGCGAACCGGGATTCGAAACCACAATCATAGGTTTCTGGTGTGTCCAAGGGACGCAACTCTGCACAGCGAATCGCGGCGTCTTAGACGACTGGGCCACCCGTGCGGATGTGTTTGACATGAACACTCATATAATATCCTCTATTTATCTCGTGGGTGATCACATATGTTGTCCAGATCACAACATTTCCAACAGTTATTGTCCAATATGTATTTTTGACCTATTTAATTAAAGAAGCAGGTCTGATTCAGGTCACCGTTCTTGATTCTTATCTCAACCTAGGTACCAAACAAGAACCAATATCAGCTATTGATAACGCGTCTCTTCAAAACTGGATATTTCCCACAGTAGAACTCTCGTTTAGACGTTGTCAAGACGTTAATCCTGAAATAAAAGCGACAAGGCCATTTCCATAATCGAGATTTCCATATTAAGAGTTGTCTACTAAAATGAGATTCCATTGTACGATTCCAATTATATCATGAGCATTGTGTTCTTAAAACTCAATCAAATAGTGATGATACCAGGTGTTTGCAGATCACGTTTTCTATGGGTGAACACAGACCTAACGGTTTCTCGTTAAATATTTATTAAAATGAAGTCTCGCTTGATTGTATTTCAGCGACAGACTGTCGAATTATTATGAGGGAATACTGAGAATAACTGAGAAAAAGCAATGGTTATCGAAAATATAGTTGATACAACT